AGCGAGAATTTTCGATCGACCCTCTCCAACGATGACTGATGGCAGTATGGTCTATTTGAGTCCATCGTTGGTTTGGTGCAGGGTATCGCCACGTTACACGGCACCTCCCCTTATGCTTAAAATTAGTGTTTGCTAAAAATAAGCGATTGTCTGAGCACAGTTGCAGCAGACGATCACCATTATCTGTTCGCTGTGCCGGAATACTGAAATACCCATCTAAATGTCTTTCTGTTTCGTTTAAGCTACCTACCTGGGCATTAAAGTCGCCTGCTACGAGTACTATGTCTGAGCGTTTGGCTTTCTGAAGAAGTTCAGACAGCTTTCTGTAAAATTCATCTTTCACTTCATCCGAACTGCAGTCAGTGGGAGCGTAGGCAGAAACGACGAAAGGGCAACGACGTGTGTCCCTATCGTTTCGAGTTCTTACGGAGCCGTTTAGCCGAACAGCGCATAGACGACTGTTAACGGGGATCCACTCTAATAGCGCTTGTTCCGCCCTCATGCTTAGTGCTATTCCTACACCTGCCAGTCCACGAGAACTAGCCATCAGGTCGCCAGATACACGGAAGGTGTAACTCGTCGGCTCTCCGTTTTGTCGAGGTGAGATCAAGTGAATGACCACACTAGGATCCTGTGTGCGTGTTTCGGAGACACAGCATACATCAATGTTACGATATTCTAAGGTTTTAGCCAAGGAAGCCTGCTGAACGATTTGTTATAGTGTGCGTACGTGAAGGCTCCAATGTGTAGTTTGGAGCAAGGTTTCAGTAGATCTGGGACAATGTTTTGCGCACAAGAATCGTTGGCTGCGGTGACACTTGAGGAGGAAGTCAAAAGAGGAGGTTTAGATTTGAAAGTTGATGTAGGAGGAATAATAGGAATTGAAGAGAGAGGTTGATTATGAATACAGTGGTCTTGAGTGCTGTTAGAGGTATGAGGGCGGTTATCACTTACCGGTTGCACACTCCGTGGAAGGGTTCTCCTGGAGGTACCTGAAAAGGAAATTTGGTTAGAGGTGGTCATAGTGACCTGAGAGCGTGACCGCAGTGCCCAAGGGACGGCTGCTTGAGGTCGGTCACACACGACCTTTTTATGAGTAATTTTTGTGTTAGCTCCGTACTTGTTGAGACCTTACCACCGGAGACGGATATCCGTAGGAGAATGCGAGGTGTGCATTTTTAGGGTCGACCTTTTCTAACCCCATCCCTCCTTGTGGGAAGGCAGCATCGCTGTTATGCTGGTTGTCTGAAGGAAACACCTTACTGCTATCACACCTCTGTACAGTCAGCAGTACGACTTCCCCTTCAGACCTTGGTTTTGTTGCTTTTAGTCTTACCGCTCTTCAACCGACCTGTCTGGCATGGTAGGACCTTGAGGAACGGTTGTTCCAGCCAGTACAGCTCAGTTGCTTCATCACGATAGGCAAGCCCGACCACCACGTCAAGGTAGCAACAACGGTCAGGAAAATTTCTTGGTAATTATATATTATCCTTAATATTATTTGTGTTAAACGTGAATTGTTCTGTTTTGCCAAGTTTTCTACTTTTTTTTAATATTTATATATATATATCTTGTGTCATTTTCAATTTGTTTATCTTCACTAAAAGGTGCTTTAAAAATGTTCATACTAATATCGTAATGATGATTTTGGTAAGGTAAGCTGTTTTTCTTCTTGTCAACAATGTTAGCTAACAAACTGCTGTTATTATATATGCATTTATATATTCTCATAACCACTAATCTAGTTTGGGTGTCCGTTTTTTGTGATTCGTGTTTAATATGTTTCTGTCTTTCGTATGAATAACAAATCCGATTTCGTTGTGTGTTCTGGTTCAAGGTAAATATAATTCTGTTCTACTGTTCTATGTTGGTGGCGGTAGTCTGTGTGTGCGTGTAATTTATATCAATTTGACAGTTTTAATTATTCTTGTGGTTTTTCTTTCAGCCACTCATTTAATTGTGTTCAGTTAGTGTGAAAATTGTGTTCATATTTTACTTGATTTAATTGCTCTTTCATCGTTCTTTCATCTCATACAACTGGTTGAATTATTTTTAAACAATAAAAATCCAATAAATGAGTGTTGAAATACAGAATAGTGGATGCAAATGTAATGATGTTAAGATGATTTGTTTGTCTTCAAACCTGAAGCTGTTTGGCTTGATCAATTGTGGAATTGTTGTTATGTTTTACTGAGAAATGCTGAACCAGAATGAAGCAGTTTATTTCTGGATTTCATTATTTAATTAACCAACATCGGTCTACAATTATATTTATTTTCCAATTGTTCAGTATAAAATCATCGTGGTGAATACAAATAATCATTAAATAGTGCCGGGATCAGAAGTCTTTGTAACCATAGAACCTTCATAAAGACTTAAATAGACAATGACATCATCCCAAATTGATTTACATGTGTATCTATGTTTGGATGGAATTTCTCGCCTTCTATTTTTTTTGTTTGACAATATACTATTCGTAAACCTTTAATTTAAAATTACTCCCAAAATTTTGCCAATAAAAGTGCCTTGATTTATTGATCGATCCCTAACCATGTGGTCATAGTTAATTATGATTGTCAAATATATTGGGTGAATTTGTGAGACAATAATTTCAGTTTTATTTGTTTCGTATCTACAAGTATTTTTCTCATATATTCACATGTTAGTTATTTAAGTTTACCATAACTCCAGCATTAAAAATTATGTGAAATTTACATTTTACTGACATGATTATGGTTTCTGTTTGGAAAAAATTTCCACTAATTCTAACTATATCTGATAATTTAAAATAGAATTGATTATCTGGACTCAGTGTTTCATTGGGTAACGTGTTGGGGTTTCATTTGTTTACTGAATGCATGAAAACATATGTTCATAGATTGTTTCATTGTATAATAAGTTACTATCTTTCAAATTTCTACTATCTCTGTTATATATGTAATAACTTAAGTTAACTATTGATAACCAAATAAATCCAGTGTTTACTATTTTTAATCTTCGTAAGTATATTGACAGATAGTGAATGAATTAAATAATTTAGAACAACATTGCCACAAATTCAAATGTTAACCTGTTGTTTTTATTTTATCAACGATTCATGCATTCAATCTACTGTTTGTTTGTTTTTGAATGGTACACTTTATTCGTTGTTATCAGTTAACTGATCAAATATCATTATTAATACCCAAATAATATGATGTAATGTAAGTCTTTATTTCTGTATTATGTTTTTATTTTTGTCTCATCCATCAACTAATTCATCATAACATTTAACCAATTATTTTCACTTTCTTGAATAACATAATTGTTAATTATATTTTTCCTGTGCTTCAATGTTTCTTAAAGATTTCATTATAGTGATTATTTTCATTGTTTTTGAAGTTCAATATTCTTTTTCTCATGTCAATAAAATACATATAACATCACTGAGTAGTTCATCGTAAGTACCTTAGTCTTCAAATCTGCTATCTAAATTTTTAATCCTATACTGTTTGTAATATTTCTAAATGGAAGGAAACCTTCTGAGATATAAACAGACATCATTAATGACTAGTTAAAAATCACACTAAATTGCAAATTTAATTTGGTATTATCAACCATTAATTTCGTATTTATCATGTTCACCACAATACTTAGGTTCGATTGTTTGCAGGGTCACGGACACATAAATGTTGATTGCTTGCTGGTTTCCACTGATCCTCTTGATAAGGCTGTCATTTTATATATATATATATATATATATATATATATATATATATATATATATATATATATATATATATATATATATATATATATATACTTTAGAACAGATCAAAGGGATATTTGTGATGTAATGAAATTATATTAATACAACATATTTTCCTTTCTCATTTGATATTTTTATTAATAAATATAAGCAATTTCCAATCTAACAATCATCTCACTACACTCTAATCTATAAGTTGATGATTTTTGGGAAATATTTTTAGATTCCAATTATACATGCCCTTTTTCATCATATAAATCATATGCATATATGTCTGAGTGTATGTACATGCTCCCTGTTTGTAAATGTGGCAACTGTTGTTTAGCTTGGTTTCTTTTTTCTCTTGTTATCCTTATTTCATGTTGTATATTACTTCATATTTGTGCCTACTTTCCATTTCTGAACAATTATTTTTTCTCTTTTACACGTTTTACAAATTTCATTGATCAGCTATTCATCTTTTCTTGTATTTACGCTCTCTCACACTTTCTATCTCTCGTTATGGGTTCTTCACTAATTGTATTCTATAATTTTGTTAGCTTGTAAAATATACACTCTCGTCTATATGTCTAAGGGCACATGTAAGCAACGTGGCTAAGCAAAGAAAACAGTGTAAGTTGTAATATTGATTTTACGTTTTTTTCGACGAATGCTTTTACAGTTTGATTGAATGCACAGTATGAAATTTGAAACGACAATGAGGAAAACAATAATAATAATAATAATAATAATAATAATAATAATAATAATAATAATAATAAGTGATAAAAACAACGGTGATGAGACACACACAAGTACTTATGTGTGTAGTTTGCTTTTGTTGTTTATAATATTTATCTTTGATTGGGTGGTTTTACCGTCCGGTTTTGTGTCTGCATTTCTCTTCACTGATGTGTGCATACATATACACTGTTCTGTTCAGTGATTTTTAATCCAATTCAAATTGTTTTTTTTTGCTCACACGTCAGCTCATTAATCTAATCTAATCTTATATATATATATATTTTTTTGACGCTGTTTATGATTTATTGATCGGTGACGTTGTTTTGGTGTGTATGTTAGAGAGACAGAGAAAACAACAGTATCTAGTTTCAAATGTAATTTAATAATCGAAATGTGAAGCACAATTAATTTCCCATTATTTAAGCGTTAAAACTCATAACAACTACCACAGTTTGGTTTTCTTTCCTCATCTCAATGTTGAACTGTAGACATGTTTCTGCTAATCTTGTTTAATTTCTTTTTTATGTAGTATTCATCGCTACGCGATCTGTTCAGTGGTCCAGCTGGTAGCTTATGTCCTACTAATTCAACCGCTATGAATAATGGGAATTCGTCTCGTGCTAATCAAAGTACTCACTGTTGGAATCCACCTCGTCTACCCGAGTAAGGATTTATTTTTATACTTTATTTTGTTCTGTAAGCTGTCTAGTGATTTTGTCTATTTATAACTTCAGGCGAATGTTAGCCAAGTTTGTATTTTGTTGCTTCCTATTGTTTCTGTATGTTACTTGATCTATTCCCCTATTAAACACTATCTTAATCATCCATCGTTACCTATTGTCCTGGGTCAATAGAGTACGGTTATATGCTGTTTCGACTGTACATCTCTTGGAAAAACATCTAATCAGCATGTAACCTAGAATTACTTCTAGGTAAATGTATGGTATTCTGATGTTAGTTCAATTTAATTTTTCTATATCAAGCTAAATTTACGTACCTGTTCATATTTATTAGCATGATTTACTTATGAAATTAAAGAGACTCATGTTCTGTCTTAAACTTTGATTTTCATATGAATTCTTTGTTGATTCAGCCAACATTCATAAATCACTAGTTTTGTACACTATCCGACTGGTTTCAAACGTTAGTCAGTAAATAAATTCGACCCATCATAATAAAATGTTACTTCGTATAATGACAATACAACATTCCTCAGCACTAAAAGCAATAAATTTAACATTATTTACCATCTGGCAACTAATAAATACATTACCTACATTATTACGCATAAAAATAATATTTCATGTAAATTATATAAGGTTTTTCTATTTCGTAAATTATTGCTGCAGCTGTTCATATCTACTTTGCCAGTATTTAGTAGAATATACTTATTTTAAAACATCAATGTGTTGTTATACTCTGTAATTTTATATTATACAAATTCTTTATGATTTTCTTCGTATTGATCAATACCAGATATATATATATTTGTGTAATGTTTACTAACTTTTGTTTATAATTTGTTGAGTTAATGCGCCAAATTGTTTATAAACAAAGTTCTACATAACTCGAGAGTTTAACATGGTTAGTAAAATGAATTCTAAATAGTTAATGTGTACTGTTAACTACGGTGATGATCTCTAGAATAGTAGTAGATCGATCATCCAATACATGAGGACTGCGTAAATTCGAATCAAATAATTCTCCAATACTCTGTAGTGTTTTACTGGTTTTTCAAATTATCTTTAAATGTATGAACAGATTTTTGGGGTGTCATAATATCATTTGTTTATCACTTATGTAATTACTTCAAATTACAATTCTAGGTATATCTTTAAAAAATGTATGAGTTAATCTAAATTATTGACGTCTTGAATGATGTTTTCTTTCTTGTTCGTAATGAATGTTTGCAAAAATGTTGTACAGCATCATTTATGCGCCATAAAATATTTCCATTGTTTCATCATTTACACTGAAGAATTAAAATGTTTTACATTTTTCATAGGATACTAAACTAGAGCGAATCACTGACGAGAAAATCTACAAGAGCTTCTGACCGCTTGTGATCTGTATGATACAAAACCCTCACAGTTACTTCAATTAGTGAAGTCATAAAAATTAGATGTCCTCAAACAAATGTCTCTATAGTCTGCTGTGTGAGGTAAAGCAAATCTTAAGTGTCTCCTCGGATGTCCGTTACCGTCAATGACCTAGCTAATATAGCCGACAAGATAATGGAGGTATATTCAGGTGGAAATGCGGTTAATGCTTTGTATGTACGGATGACTACTACAGACTCAACTAACGATGTAGCATCGCTTCAGCAGCTAGTTAATCTCACCTTGATATTACTCGGTCAATATAATAGCATTTTGAAATCTATTTTATTCTTAAAAATTTCATTTTGTTACACCCAGCTAGAAAATAGTTGTGATTTAAAATGGCGTATAAATTTACTGGTTATGTAAAATCTTTCCGTAAATTATATAGACATTCAACAAAGTTAGTCAGCTTTTACAACAATCCTTCTTTACTTACTAAATATACACCAAAACACTGTTAGACAATAAAGAACTAAATACTTTCTAGAATTAATAAAGTAATGATGTTATATACATACTTCACTACTTCAAGTTTAATAATCGCAAGGAACTAAACACACTACTAGGACTATTGCTCATGAGTTAAATTGTTTGAATCAGTATTGAGATTTACAAATTAGCAACTGATACTCTAGTGTTAAATTCATTAATAGAAAGTAGATTAAAAATTAAATATAAAATAATAATGACAAAATGAAAAATATTTACTACATTAACAAATAATTTGATTTTTAAAAATAAATACAAGTGGCGTTTTCTATGCTTATCCCTTTGTTCACTACATAGTAGCTCATATGACTTATGTATACACTTTGTTGTTCAATTAGGAACTTTCTAATCATATGTATGACACTGTTTCTGTTTCACACTAAGTACACCTTACTATTTATCTTCATCGTAATTGATTACCTTATTTGTTTCAATATATTTTCAGCTGGATTCATTCACATGTTATTCATAGAAATTCAATAATTGCTCACTTCCTTTTTAATATCCATTTTCAATGAATAGGTGGACAGATGTAGATTGATACAACAATAATTTGATTATCATCGCCCTGTTTTTTTTTGTTACACTTGTAAATTATTATAATTTCTCTTAAAAGTTACACCATATTAATTATGCTAAGTCTATATGCAGTCTCAAAAAGGATGAAATACTCGTCGTTCAGTCTTACTTTCTCCGTTTGTCCACTTCAGTTAGAATACATACATTCAAACCCCCCAACTGTTGCTCAGTAAAATAGTTGTGAATGATAACAGAGCTCTAATTTTAGAACTAAGTGATCTGTAGAAAATCGTGCGTTATATATATGATCCACTTACTCCAATAGAATGCTTCGTTTATGCTTCTCACTTACCGATAGCCTTGTGACATAATTTTTCTGGCGCTTACTTCTCCCGAAGGAATCTCCTGTCATTCAGTTGAAGTGAGACTGCCGATTCCTGTGCTAACCACTATCCGAAATATAATAAATAATTTTTAGTTCAATGAAGTGGCTTTTTAGAGTAAATCGCATTAATGTATCTTGGTAAGCTATTACAGTTTCATGTAATACTCCTTGAATACCACCAATTATATAGTAGATAAAATTGCATATCAGTGTTCCAAACTGTAACAGATGAAACGAGATTTCAAAATAGATGACAGTAATTAAAATTGGAGCTCCTAAGACATATGCACAACTAATTCTCTAAACAGTAACCCAAATAATATACTGCTGAAATGATAAAGTTTTGTAGCTACAGTTAATATAGTTGCCATTGTTGGTTTCGCGGCTCGTCAGTCTAGTTGTAAAGTTTTTTGTGGTCGTTCTGGAGAACAATTTCAGTGCCTACTTCAAACAGAGGAGTGTATTTTATAATTACCCCGCAAGTATCAAATCATTATCTTATGATCAACCAGCTACTGACTGATTGTTTTCACATAGTAATCTAAATGGACTCATCACTTACGGCTTAATTCCTAATATTCTGTTGTATTTCAAATAAGTTCTAATTGGTTCCAGAACGACAATTAAACTTTGGAAGTCAATAGGATAAAGTCTAGCACAGATATACGTTAGCCCAAGTTGCCATACCTCATTAGGACGACGAGATCACAAAATGGATCGAAATAATAAAGTAGCAATGTTAATAAGAAATACTCAACCTTAGTAACATGGCTTGAAAAGTCAGTGGAAATGTTTGCATGAATGGATACTGGAATTCAATATCGAAAAGTAAGATAAGGAGTGAATGCATCTGCACTGTCGTGAACGATTCTCAGCTATGTTACTCAAAGTCTCCGACCAATGGTTACGATACCCACGTGGACCCAAACCAGGGGGTCTGCATCTACTAACATTGCTTAGACCAGCAGTCCATGATTGGTCCCACTTTTTGGTTTGCCCACCCCCAAGTATCTTCCAACCCATACGTATTAAAGTTTATTTTCCAACAGGTGTGATTAAGAGTCTAATATACAGTAAAACAACTACTTAATTACTGGATCACATTAAATTAACCTAAACATTTATCAACTATTCGTTTGTCAATGTTATATTGACAGAAATCCTAGTACTTACGCTTTCCGCAATCAAGTAGATGCATATATTTACAGCATAAGTACTTGTTTTCAAATTTTATCATCACTTACCATTTCGTCTTCTATATTTACATAAAAATATACCGCTAAATCTATCCCATTCTTTGAAGTAAAGTCATCCAGAGGAAGGACTTATGTTCATTTATCCTAATAACCTCTATTTGAAAGTGTAATTTCCAGTTTGTTGCTAAGTAATCAATTATTTCCTGCAGTGTTAATAGTTTATAATTTTGTTTTCACTGTGATCAAATCATCTGACGTCAACTTCTCTGCAAAATATACTATATCATGTTCGGGTCTCTTACTAAAATTTCAACCGTCTTTTCTTTAATTGATGTATTTAGTACTGCACCTGATCCTGGAATTACACAAATTTTAGCCCAACTTTATGAAGCTTCCAAAAGATTGCACGAAGCCTCAACCAACACTAAAGATCCAGATACATTAGTTGTCAAACCGCCTCCTAGATCGAATTCTGCTCCTAATACTTACTCAAGAAATGACCAAAACAGTCATTTGTCAGCCAGTTTAACTGACCCTCTCTCATCAAATCAATTTCTTGCACAGGACCAATGGCAAGGTCCTAAGCAATCTAGAGTGGATAATTCATATGAGACGGAAAGAAATATTGGAATCGAAGTAAGCTCATTATGATATTTATCGTATCATTATATATCAGACTGTTGGAATGCAATTATCATCAAAATCTAGTTGCCGTCTTTTATTATAAAGCAATTTGTATCTGTGAATATTCCGGTTTACTTATAAAATACTATCATATATTTCGAAACTAATTTATGTTATTATTCCTTCATAAAGTGGTGTAATGTTTTTTCTCCTTGATATAGCCATATTTTGTATACAATTTAATACGAGAAGTATTTCAAAGTTAAAATAATTTTAATGAAGCAAATTTTATCATTAAAACAATGATAATATTTTTCATTATAACTTGAGAAAATATCTTCCTTATTCAATGTATTCTTGCTAATATATAGTTTTATGAGTGTACAATTGAACATTAATTGTAAGTCATCATTTTTTTTATCTTCGAGCATGTTTATACATGTATATGATCATTCAGTGAATGATTCATAGCCTTATCTTAATCCAAGCTGCACAAATTCAACTTTCTGACCATCACTGATACCCTGAAAGGTACTAAATATGTTTGCGATTCCTGATTGTAATTCTGTAACATGGTTAACATTACATTAGTTACTGGAATTAATCCAAACATTTTAGTTATATTTATTGTTTATAAAAGCGTTGGCGGAAATACGTTTACGTAATGAACTTACACAAAATTCATAATTGTAAATAAAACTATCACGAATTGAACTGACTGCCATCATGGACTGAGATTAGCGTGAATACTACTGAAATGTAGATCTATCATAGTGTGAAGCCAATGATCCATATATCTAACCTCTTTCAATTTATAATATAGCACAACCATTATCTAATTTCATCAATCATATTTGTCTCAATTACGATCTGGTGATTAGTGGTAAGTTGGAAGGTGAATATCTGAAGTTTTATCAGGAAATTGTGATTAGTGATGTTCAAAATTGGGACAGATACAACCGATCACATTGAGCAACAATCGCGGTTTATCGCTAATTGATTGGAGTTGTAAATATCGACCATTCTGTTCCAAGTCAATGTTCTTAAGGTTAAGTGGTCATCATGGGTTGAATCATGTGTAGTATACACTACTGAAGAGCCTCAGACTGCAATGAAACAAGCTGTCCAGTGCACACTTGAAATTCAACTTCTTTGCTCAGACCATCGAACTAGATTAGGATTGTTAATCTTAGATATTTAAATTTTCTAGTACGTAATAGAGAATGTGACTGGTTGTTTTTACGACAAAAATAAATTATACAGTCTGTTTTATTCAGTTATCTCTATTTACAGATTTTTCAAACACAAAAACATCGTATTTCATAGCTTTTTGTCTGTAAAATATCTACACATTATACCAATACTCCGTTTATCACATCAATTAATTGTTCCCTTCATTTTGTAGAGTGGAAGTGGAAATCAACCGAATTCTTTACAATATCCAGATAATTCTCTTTCCCAAACTTACGAGCAGTCATCGAGTCAATTCAATAATATGTTTCCTGACGACCTTCAAAGTAAAAACGATCCTCGTATGTACGGTTCTGTTATGAATGCTGATACTAAAAGAACAGGAATTAGTCAAGGTACAGATTCAAATAGGTACTTTAATCAAAAATCTGCACAACAATGGCCAAAGAAATCTAATGGGCACAATAATTGGGGTAATGTAGATCATCAAAGAAATAAATGGAAATCTAGTGGTTCCACAGACTTCAACATACCAATTTTTCAAGAACTCACAACCGAATTGGGACCTTTAGCAACGGAAATGACAACAACAACTACGACGACGACGTTTTCTCCAACTACTGTTACAGCTTCCACTGTGTTACTAACTAATTCCACGAGATTAGTTACAACATCAAGTTCATTAGAAAAGCCAAGTGATTTATCATCACTGGAAGTCAAGGATATTGTTACAGAAAGTGTTACAAGACAAACACCTCTTACTGTCCGGACGGATTCAGCATTAGATAGGCATCCACAAACTACAACACAACATTACATAGACCCAACGTTGAAATCAGGCACATACACGGAATCACTTTTACCGTCAACTGACCAATCAAGCAATATTGGATTTTTGCCAGACGACGAAGACAATACTCAAGTGATCTCAAGACAAATACCTTATCAAACACCTGATTCTCAAAATATTAATTCTTGGCATCAAACCGCTGAGGTTTCTCAACGTTTTGGTGAAGTGAGTTAAAAATGTTTTTGAATATTAAATACAACACATATAGTTTATTCTCTTTCATTCCTTATGACAAATCATAAAACAGTAAAAGTGTATTCACTATACTTTAGTTTATAATATTTACCTATGTGATGCATATGATTTCGATACAACAGTTCGTTCTGTTCTAGCATCTGTATCTTGGACTATTATAAACCGTCTGTAAAATATTAGTAGGTTGCATAACTCATAAGATCAGTGTTTTAACTTGGAGACCGACCGAGTTGATTAAGGTCATGACATCTAATATTTCAGTTATGTAACAGCTAGTGATGTCCTCTGGGAGATAACATGAAAACACCTAATTATTTCATACCAGTTTCGCGGTACTGATATGATGTGGTAACCTGAAGCGATATATATGTTCCAGGTTCTACTTGACTGAGCAGTCAAGTACTGAATGTTTGTTTTTCTATTGATCACTTTAATCTATGATTACCAATAAACCCTGCACTTTGTAACAAGTTTGATATTACTAAGTTGAAACACGTTTTGTCTGTATGGTATAATTTATTTATTTATTTGAACACATAAATTTTGGTACAAGGGGGCACCAAATATATATGCGCCATACAAAACAATGATAATTTGAAGAGAAGGAGAAAAGAGAAAAAAAAAGTAATGAACGTGGGGAATTATATAAAAAGAGAGAGAGAACAATGGTGGGAAAAACGGAAAGGTACAATCAGAAGAGATCTTTCAGTTAAGGAAGATACAACCACTTTTTATGAAGAAAGTAAAAGGTTACAGCAGGATCGCCACTGGCTTCTATTCTGAGCCATATCTGATAACGTCTCTAGCCACTGTGTTACACCGTCTCTCGGACCCCAACCAGGGAGTCGTGAAGGACCAACCGAAGCTAGCCTTTTGCAGCTTTCTTTCATACCACGACACCATGTCATATACTGACCACCTCTCCGCTTTTTCCAACCAGTCCCAGAGTTGGCAAATAATGCACGACGAGGAATTCTCTGGAACGACATCAGTAGAACATGTCCAAGCCACCGAAGTCGGTGTTTCAAGATGGTGACACCAATGGAATTATCGTCTCTGTGACCGAACACTCGATGCCGAACCTCTGCATTACTAACATGGTGTTGCCACTGGATGCCAGCAATCCTTCGGAGACAACGATGATCGAACACAGAGAGTCGTCTAACATCCTCAACTCGGAGAGGCCAGATTTCACAAGCATAGAGCAAAACTGCTCTCACCGTCGCGTTGTAGATCCGACTTTTTACAGCCAGACTAACATCACGAAGGCGCCAAAGATGGCCCAGATTGACATAAGCCGCTCTGGCTTTCACTATACGTGCATTGATCTCATCACTCACACCACCACCAGCACTTATGCAGCTACCTAGATACACGAACTTCTCGACTACTTCTATCTGCTCACCATCCAGAGTGGGTACAGGATTAGAATCCTGCCAGTCTTGTAGAAGAACTTTGCACTTCGAAGGTGCAAAGCACATACCATACCTACGGACACTGATTGCCAACTGATTAAGTGCGGATTGCATAGCTTGGGCATTCTCGCACAGTAAGACAATATCATCCGCATACTCAAGGTCGAGAAGTCTTTCTCCAGGCAACAGATCCACACCACCATTACTTACATCCATCAGAGCTGTTTCCAGAATGTCATCGATGTCAAAGTTGAAGAGGAATGGTGAGATTGGGCAACCCTGCCTAACTCCACTGCTTGAATGGAATAGTGGAGAAAGGTGGTTGTATGCCCTCACTCTGCCTGAGGTGTTTGTGTATAGGGCTAGCCTTTTGCAGCTTTCTTTCATACCACGACACCATGTCATATACTGACCACCTCTCCGCTTTTTCCAACCAGTCCCAGAGTCGGCAAATAATGCACGACGAGGAATTCACTCTCTCTTATTGCCACTTTATGTATCCGTTTCGACTTAGACAGCAGCTCGCCTATGGTGAAATAATGTATAATAATACACTTCAAAACTTTATTGTATAAGGCTTGTTCGTAAACAATATATCGCTTGTTGAAAAGTCTTTAAGCTTCATTTATTTCTGCACATTTAGTAGTCTTAAACTTAGAGGCTGGTTATCGTGTAATCTATCTATGCGTAAGTGATTCAGCTCTCCACCTGGAAATTTGAATTCTGTGATTATACAACAAAATACTATAGATATTGTTCAACATGCTTCTTACATACAATATGGTACGAAATATAACATTATCTTCCCATCCTAATTAGTCAGAATCTGAATAGGAAAACTTATCTACCTTAATGTTGTGTAAATTTTACCAGTGCAATAAAAAATAATATGAATGAATAGCTAGCGATCACAATAATATCTTACCTCAAAATGTTAAACTAAGATGCTTTTTGAGGTTATAGGTTTTTTGGTTAAAAGATAGGATTAAAGCAGTTGTGCTACCCTGCCGTATTTTTCATCGATACGCTTGTAGTTCAAATAAGCAAATGATACTACAAGTAAACCTAACCGCTCATAGATGCATCATAAATTAAACTAGCTACCAAGGATTTCACTGGTTCCGGAACATACGTTTATTAGATACCATATCACGTGACCTGGTGCACTAATTTATTTTTATTTATAGGGCTCCGGAAATCGAGGCAGTGGTAATGCACCATCGGTCTTTACACCACAATATCAAAGATCCCGAACTTCATGGCCACAGTCCGGCAGAGAATCGGTAGTCCCCAACGCTGCAGATACGCGTTACGATGAAGAATTTATTGGTCCCCAACCAGACAAAAATCTAGCTTTCTACCCAAGCACCCAAGAGCCAGAAAATCGAGGGGATGAAGAAGCTTGGAACGTTTCTCCCGATAAGCTAGCTTCAGGGTTTCTAGAAGGAGTTAGTGGAATGAGCCCCAACATGGAGTGGAATGAGGACAAAAACGATCGCCACAGTAAGTGTCTTAAACCTGTCGTGATACACATAATTTTGGATGAACTTGGTATTTGTTAATTCTTCAAACGAACAAACTACTTTTGTTTTGTTCTCTCGTTATTATAGGAGCAGACAATTTTCATGTCCATTCCGCACGTAAGACCGATGACTTAATTAATAATCATTTGGCATCCAACGAACAGCAACTGAAACCTTAACCCGTGTCGGTCCTTGAGTTTCTTTAGACCAATGTCCAAGACGAAGTTATCAAACAAACCTTTTCTCTGTTGTTCAGTAGTTTGTTATGTGACTCAATTCGCATTAATATAGTGAAAGTTCTTGACCACACATGAACATAAACTGAAAATCACAATGTGCGTGGAACTACTCCATAAGTGAAAGAGAACTGAGTAAAAGATTTGTAATTATTTAACATCAACTTGAGAAAGGTAAAAATAATTTAAACCCTGAACGAAAGATTGGGAGAATATGAGCATGAAATAATCCAAATGCTTAATAATTAAGTTAAAGCTTTCTCATGATGTATCCCCTTACAGCAATATCAGTTTCCAATTTTTGTCAATCTGAACCAAGTTTTTTTCATTTCAGCTGGCTCGTCACAATGGCAAGGTGCATCGGGAGGTAGTAGGAGTGGCAACACAGCTCCGGAAGATACACCCATACTGCATCCCCCAACTCAGCCGACGCAACCACCTATTCCACCGCGGGTCGATAATGTTCCGGAGATTCTTCCACAACCACCCCTGCCACCCCCAGAAGTGTGGGTACCAGCAAAGTTAAGCCCCGGACAGCCGGTGCCACCCATATTGCTAATACGAGAATATAGTGTTGAAGGTCCCCTATACGAAAAGGAAGACACTGTCTCACGTACCTATAACTCAGCATCCCACCAACAATTAATCACGTCTATATTTTTACCTCTAATCATTATATTTATCCTTTAAACCGAACAATGACTTTTTTCTCAGTTACATTTTCTTGAAATGTACATAGGCACGTTTGATAGCCTTTGCTCAAAATGTATTTACATGTATCTTGTTAACATTTTGAATTGCTTGTATTCTCTTAATATTCATTTTTACTCCATCGATCTAAAGCTTTGCATTTATACAAGGTCACATGTTTAAAAATATATGATATCCTACACAGACCTAAACTCACATTTACATTTCTTTCAGAGGATCTAAGCATTAAACGAAGATGACTTGGCGTAACAAAACCATTCTCTGCACTTGAAAAAAAAACAAAGAAGTCATTAGTATATTATAATAAGGTTATATTTCAACGTTTGTTAAAGGGTCTTCCGATGCAACTGCAGAAGCTCCATTTAAAGGGACCCACGGTTTATTTGAATCTAGAACACAACGGAAGATCAGTGGGCCAAGTTCAAACCAACTTAGGGAGTTAGGACAGTGAAGCCTTAAGCGGTGCACAGCAATCTGACCTTCAAAGTATGTTACAGGTTCTTGCTCAGGTGTTGTGGACTTAGCTCGCATTTCTTCAGATGTTATTTGCGTATTCACAAAAGCTGGACGCACGTACGGGAAAGGATCTATGATTAGGTAACCCCTTTCTGAATTGAATACGTTAGTTATTTCATCTGAACCTACACAGTTTAGGCGTAAAAGTCTTAACACAGGAACAGGTCCACGTGCTTTCCAACTTATACGAGCTGGATTTATTTGGTTGGTTTTGATATTGAAGATAACACCCAAAATAGCAGGTTGTGATTTTTCACCACTAGAGCTCAGGATATTATTTTCACCGACACAGCATACCCCAAGTTCATAATTGTGACCACTACCTATTAGCAATGAAAGTATTTCAACTAGTATAGAATGTGAAATGTTTCGTGGATCTGGAAAACCCCCGACTATGTGGACTGTGATATTAACACTTCCTTTCGAAAAGAAACGTTCAGAATTTCTGAAAAATGACCTGGCACGCAATGGAGTATCCAGATGTCCTATCGAACAACCAACCGGACAATGCAAGACGACAATGTAACAGGAGGTTGCATCATCAGAAGATGTGTATTCTGGAATGATATTGTTTGCATGTACATTGGTGACCAGTAATGGTATAGTGGCCATTTCACCTTGATGGACGTAAACTGAGGAGAGACAATCCTTGACGTCGATTAACTGCCTTTTTTTGAAATCATCCGCGATACTCTTAATGAATGAACTTGTTGAGAACAATTGAGCGAATAAGTATATCGACGATTTCTCGCAATCATATCTCTTCCCATCAAAATTAAGCACCATTCACTCTTCAAGCAACCTAAAACTAATGTTGAATAGAACATGAGTAATAATCTAAAGCGATAAAACCATAGAATTATGAATTGTTAGCAAATTTGTTGTATTTCAACAATGTACAAACTAGCGAGCAAAAGGTTGAGATTATGAAAATAGGGCTGTTTCTCAAGGAATATGTGGGGAATTTATACACCATGTACAAGATCAATAATAAACCCTCAGTTATTTACATCTGAAAGTATTAAGTATGTAAAAGTCTTATACAAAATAAGTAGATCATAATATACAGATCGATTTGATCAGGACCACCCATTTAACTGAATATGGCTTATTTTAGCGGCCCCCTGATTGGATTTTTGCGAAATAACACGATCTTTCGAATCCTCGCTTTGCAGCAACCATGTTCGCCAATCACTTAGTAAAAAATATAAACACGATCTTCTGAATCTCAAAGCTTCTGACATCAACATCGAAACCACAGCTTCCCTTTGTCCAATTGAACCAGTGAGTTCATTCATGCGGTCAAATAATAGCACTGCATCTACTAAGTGAAAAGGATTAACGGTTAGATAATGTAAACGAAAGGACTAAAAGTCCTTGTACATGCAAACTTACCTGTGTAAGGCTGTCGAACCAAATGAATTAATTCGAACATAATTTTCTTGTTTAATGTAAAACTTTCCAGTGACGATGCATTCCTAGTATCAAAAGTACTTGTTTTTTCAATAATTGCTTGGTTGGCGAATCTTGAGTGGTTAATTAAGGAGGGGGGATTATCGGCATTTGTGGGAGATGAAATCGCGTTTGATATTTCTTCATTGAAAGTATTATCCGAAGATTTAGGTGATGACACCGGTGAAGATTTCGGTGAGAAAAAACGCCAGTTTCGGTGATTAATGTACGGAGGTAAGGGACCTAAAGAAAGTTGACTGGTTAAATTCCGTCTTACCTTTGACTCTTGCTTGAGGATTTTTGGTGGTTTGCGCAGATTTTTTTCGCCCCAAATTTAGCAAAACTGTATTCGGATTACAAGAATTAACCTGTAATGAATCCATCTCATCAACGAAACCTTCATCCGCGACGAAGGATGTAGACTTCCGTCGGAAAGGATTTCCGAATGTATCCGACCGTTCAGGAGTTGGATTTATCTCCCTCAAAGGTGTTTCGACCTGCCGGGAATTCCTGTAGTTAACATAATCACCCATTAAGGCGACTGGTTGTTGATGAATCAGATCAACTGCTCGGATGTTCGATGAACCATTTAGGAGATTATCAAGTTCATGCCTCATTTTTCCCAAAACTACGCGCAACTTGGTTCGAGATATATTACAAGGGCGAAGAGAATTTGAATGAAGACGCTTAGGTTTGATATACATCGATTTAAATTCACGTAACGGCCACAAAGGCAAAGGCAACAAAGCTGAGGGTAACTAAAACAAAATAAATAACTAAGGTTTTTACTTACAGTAATAGTTGGGTTTGTGGGGCTGTCAGTTTGTGTCATACGCACAAAGTTATCGTATTCAATTTTAGCTGAATGTCGAAGTTTTTGCAAAGAATGTTTCAATTGATAAGGTAGTGCACGGTCAATGGCTTCAGGTTTAATCATCCCGGCAAACCCTATTCGTTCAAACGCCTTCGCTAGGGGCTTTAAAAATCAGTAAAATCACAAGAAAAGTACCATAAAGTAATATTTCGGTATGGTTCCTAGATAGTTCACAAACTGATGACCCCAGGCTTCCGTCATACGCTTATGATCACATATATCACCTTAAAATTTTATAACATGTGCTGTAACTTACCAAGCAACTGAAGAAATACAGGATAATTGTAAGGAAGTACATGTAGATGTACTGACTGAAGATCATTTGATACTTTTAAATAACCAAACGGTGCATTCTGACTCTTTTTGATACCATAGCTAAAACACCGCCAAACCATATTTTGCTCCGACGAATTTAAAAAATCTTTCGTAAGATGTGATGGAGTCAACTCGTAACGGTCGATGGGGAAATACTCGGGCAACTCAGGTTCCATCACAGGAACTTTAGATACAAGGACTTCAGGATGTGCACTTCTAGGTGGCTTCAATGGAAATATAAAAATACTCTCGACATACCAACTGTGATGCTAGCATCTCATCATCAGGCCAAAATTGTTCTGGGATAGGCCAAGACGATGACCTTCCCATTAACTTAACTGACATCAACTGCTTTACGAATTTCTCTTGAAAAGCCGCATCAACGCAGTCAGTAGACCTTCGTAATTTTAAAACCACTCCAGGTTGACATTTTGTGACAAGAGAGTCGAGACATTGGTGGAGTTCCCGACCGTCGTAAACATCAAAACTTTCACCGCCAGTTTCTTCCGCAAGTCTTTTAAGCGGTGAGTTTGTTTCCGATCTTATGGAGTTACCACCATGAATATTACTGACAAATGCAGGGAAACGAAGTACCAGAGAATACATGCGGTAATCCCAACGAAAAGTCTCTTTTGTCAAGACATTTCCAAGAACAGAAGATTCTATGGAAGTTATAGATGCATCCTGTATCACATAATTAAAGAAATATGTCAAACTTACATTGAAAATTTGGCTATCAAAACTGCATGAGCCTATGCTACTAGTAATACATATTATTACAGAGGGTTCAATACATGATGGATAAATCCCCTTAAAAAATATCAACTGATAGATTTTAAATACCATCCCATAATTTTCCAGTCCGAGTTGCAATCTATTTATATTTAACATTCGGAATGTTCTTTGAATGCCAGTTGACAAATCAATAAGGCCATCTGGTTTTATATTATTTAAAGCAGAATGGAGTAACTGAAGATCAACGTTCTGTTTCCAACCGGTAAGCTACAACAATTAAGACGATTGTGATGACATACTTTGACATAACTTATATCAGAATTTAGAGTAAGCACAAAATAACGATCTACTCTTGATTTGCTCATCCTTATCTACCAGTTAATGTTATAAAGATTATTCCATAAACAAACTTTGAAGAAAATCTCGATGGCAGATTTTGCTACGTCTAGTAACGTAGTGCCTTGAAAAGTGCGCTGGTTCATTGCTGCGCTGTTGTCAAGCAGAAAAACAATAACTGTCATCGCTAGCTGCTCAAGGTCATACGAGTAAACCAGCCAATCACGAGCACACGACCACAACGCATACAGCAAAGCGCAACGCTCCTAATGCTATGATAGCCTGACACTGCAATATATATTATATCGAGCTGACAATACTGCATTCTGATTGGTCAGAATTTGGAGCAGAGGCTCATATGGATATATTTGTTAAACACGCTGTTTTTAGTATAACGTCCAATTTTTCCTAAATTATGGAATTCAATAGCAATAGGTAATATTTGGAAACAATAGCTTTTGTAAGTAATACATATTTTAAATTCTAATTGAATCAATAGTTTACTCGTTAATTATTTTTACTCTTTATGAGCCTCCAATCAATCATATATTTTTAGATTTGCGTCGTATAATTGAATATGTACATCTTTTACTAAGAAGACGAAGTGTAATAATTCGTGTTCTACAGTCGTTATTTTGATTTGTATCTTTAATTCTCAGCCTTTACAGTATGTTGATCTACTATTATTTGGCAACATTGTAGAAACTTATCAATTTACTTAACCTGTATGAGTTGCTACCATAGTAATATCATAGTTTTTTAGACTTATAATTCAATAACTCTCAGCTCAAAGAAAGTAAGTTAGTTTATTAATTTTCGATGGGCTTCAGAATTCGAGCGTTAACGTTCATATTGATATAGGAGTTTTAAAATAACAATTTCTTACTTCTAAATGTGTCGGTATTTGAAGTAAAAGTAATCTTACCACGTTTCTTTTAATTCATGTAAGTGTCAGCGGAGATTATATCTCCATTACGGTGTACTGGTAAGTTCTTTTCATTCATTGAATTATACCTTAGATCTTAATGTAATATGACCATGACCTTAAACAAGCACTTTTCTCTGAGAGAATCTTAAAGTAGCCTTGTTATGGAAAATTCAAACATCGTTAACCATACGTAGCTACTTATAAGTAGTAGGAATGCTATTTGATAAATCAAAAACCTGAAGTTTCCAGTCATTTGTTTTCATTGGTTGTCTATAGTCGTTCGTTTTTGGTAAGCATCTTTTGATTTTCATTGTCCAGTGTACAGACTTCCTTATTTGATAAACCAAGCTGACATATGATAAGGGAATGATTAGAAGAATTCTTTGTGTCTATAAAATGCCTGAGTTTCATCTCACGACAGTGATGTTTAATCTTTGCATACGTTTGTCTAAGTGTGAGTGAACACCTCCATAGAAAATGGATTCCAAGAATGTGGAGAACTTTGAATTCAAATACACCTTATCTGAATTAAACAACCAGTACGTAAACCTGACTATGAATCATGGATTTTGAGTTATTATATCAACCGATTTTGTCTGTAGTAGTCCTTAAAATATTTATACGATGCCTATATCTCCATATAAATCACTTCACTTGTCTGAAAATTAAAGCTAAATAAACGAGAAGTGCTAAATCATTGATTCAAATATCATAAGTATTTGAAATGTATGTACCTTTTTTCTCCATATTCTAACCAACTTCCTAATTATTCACTATACTAATTTTCCAATATAAGCAATCACAAAAAAAGTTTTGATCTATTTAAAAATGAATATCCTCTGTAAATTGATAACTTCAAAAATGGATTTTGATTATCATAAATTATCGATGAAGTATATAAAAATAATATTAAAAGAAGTTATAACATCAGATCACTACAGTCAAAGTGAATAAACATAGTAAGAGCATTAACCACTAATCAGAAACACTGAATGATGTTTAGATTACTTTGTAGACACTTAACACTATTATGATAGTCTCTACTTACCCTTGTCATTCCAGTTTAGAGAAATGTAATGGTTGCAGAAAACGATATTTCGAGATCCTGTATAAACAAAAGATAACAAAACTGCATAAAATCATTTTAACATAGCAACTTTTCAGTTAAT